ATTCCACGTGTATGTTGATGGTCCCCAAATGTACATTTCCAGCTTTATTCCTCTTCCCTGAGCCCCAGACTTGTATATCCAGGCTACCTACTTGATATTTCCACTTGTAGGTCTAATAAGCATCTCAAATTTTGTACATCTTAAAACTGAATTTGTAGTTATCATCTCAAACTTTTTCTTCCCCCAGGATTCCTGATCTCCTTAATTAACACCACCAACTTTTCAGACACTTAAACCAAACCTTTGGTGGCATCCCTGAATCAACATTTTCTCTTATGCCCATATTCAGTCCTTTGCCAAATTCTGCTGATTCAGCATCTAAAAGATCCCTGAAATCACCTGCTTCTCTCCATCTCTACTGGTCACATCCTACTCCAAGCTCTCAGTGTCTTCCACCTGGACTGCTGCAGTGGCATAGGAACTGAATTCCCTGCTTCTACTCTCACACCTATGCCAGTTTGCCTTACTATACAATAACTTCATAATCTCAGTTGCATAGAATAATAAGCATTTATTTCTTAAATATCTGAAAAATGGTTGGGAAGCTTTGCTGCAGGTCTGTGGGTCTGCTGGAGTGGTTCTGTTCTGTTTGTCTCATTTTTGTGTCCAGGATTGACTATTTTGTTCACTACCTGTACACTGTTCCAGGATTAGTCACTAGCATGCAGTATGCGCTCAATGAATGGTTGAATTAATGAGTAAATGGGCGAACAGTCCCTGGTTTGCTCTCTGTGCTTTCACAGGAGTTTACAGACACATCACCAGCTGGAAGTCCCTAAGGAGAAGATCCAGTGTCCTCACACTTGCAATTACTCGGTTCATACAAGTTGCCTGGAGTCATATCAAAGTTAGCATATACCAGAAAAAGCTATTGAGTCCTGGCCATCACCTCTACCTTGTTGTGATCCTCTAAATTAACTAAAGGAGAGCATCTCTAGACTCATTCATGACAGGCCCCAGTGTTTTCTCTTATTGCACTAGGACTTGCTTGGGGATATGTGCTTTTCCTTGTGACTACTGAAGTCTGAGGAAATGAACAACCCAGGCTCTTGTAAACAGAGGCTGATAATTGGTCTGGTAATGCAATATTGCATAGTCACCCTCAGTTTTCCAACCAATCATTTCAAGCCTCTATCTTGAGTCTCAATGAATTCTATTCACTTATCAGGAAATATTTTGTGAATGGCTTATTATATGCCAGATGTTAGCAAGACTCTTGAGCACACAGGGTTAGATAATTCAGACGTAAGGCCCTGTTTTTACAGAATACACAGTCTAATGAGAAAAGCAGACACAAAGGAAGAGTACAGGGTATTTGAGAAGACTAGGTCCTCTGGGGCTTCCACATTTAAGCTGTTCTTGAAGGATGGAGTGGAGTTACCTAATACAAAGATTTACATCAAGGGAATGAGAAGAAAGAGAGTGTTCCAGGCAAAGGAACTTTAAAACAGTAACTGTAGGTAGAAGACAGAAGTTAAGAAAAGTGATGGGCCAAAGATAAAATCGTCACATCCCTGGCCGGCCCGGTGGCGCACTGGATGGTGCGCCGCTTGGGAAGCGCGGCGGCGCTCCCGTCCGAGGGTTCGGATCCCACATACAGACCGGCTCCCGCTCACTGGCTGAGCGAGGCGTGGGAGCAACGCCGAGGCTTGCGATCCCGTTGCCGGTCCCCGGTCCGGTACGGGGGCAACACTGAGGGTTGCGATCCGTTGCCGGACACGGAAAAAAGACAAAAGACAAAAAAAAAAAATAATAAAATAAAATAAAATAAAAATCGTCACATCCCTACTAACTGTCCCTGCGGTGAGTATGACTGCTTTACCAGCGTGAAATGGGGAGAATCATTTCCACTTCCATCCAGCTGCTCAGGAATGTTGAAAAGAAGGTAGAAATATGAAGACCATGTTGAGAGCCTTTGAAGAAGGGCCCTGTGGACATTCCTGCTGTTATTAAGCTTATTGTCCATTCCAGAACTCGGGCCAAAACACTGTTGTAAGCCCTTGGGCAACACCCGTTTACCTCACATCTCTCTCTCCCGTGAAAAATGCCCTCGAGGTTAATATTCAGCTTCACCAGAGTGGATTTGGTTGGCAGTCAAGCTTGCTGAGCTACAGGTAATTAGGAAGAAAATGTCCTCTCTTCCAGTCGTGCTGTCTTCTCTACCTTATGAAGCCTTTGGAAATTCTTTTCCTTGGTCCCCTCCCTAATTAGCAGCAGTGGTCGCACTCCAGATCCTTCCTCTTGCAGGGCGTCCTCTGCATCCCCCACAGATGTACACAGTTCAGCAATCGAGGGACAGCTTCCTGTCGGTTGTAGGAGCCAACCTAGTTAGTTCTGAAGACCTGAGACTCAGAAAAAGTAAGGCTAATTGGGAAAAGGAATTTCAGTGGAAAACTCAATGTAGTACTGACAGTCTGACCTTCAACTTCTGCCGCATGCTGTGGTTCTGTGAGCCATCACTCCATGATGCTGCTTGCTGTGGGACGACCTAAGTTGAGTTCAGCATGCTGGTAAAAAACGGTGGCTGGCCCACAAGCATTTCCACCAGGAAACTGCAAGAATCGGAGGGCAGTATTTAAATAAACTTGATTAACAGGTTGTTTTTTCCTCTATTTTTGACACGTAAAATTTCAGTTTTAGTTTCATTATTCTTGTAATGAAAAACTACAGCTGAGAGGGCGGATGTATGCACTACCTGATAAGTACTGGGGGCTGAAAGCATTTGAAAGTGGTGATCTGTGAGTTACATCTATGGCTGAGAGTATTTCCTTTTAAATATGTTGAATTTCCTGGGGTTCTCCTTTAAGTGTCCCTCTTGTGAGTATACTTTTTCTGCTATGACCGCTAGGTGCAACTGATAAGAAAGTACGTAGAGCACTGAGCATCACCACTTTATCAAGCTCTTCAACAAACTGCACAGTGTCACTCAGCCTCCCCTTGGTTTCTCTCTTTGGAGAATATGTTGATTCATTCCACCATGCCGTTGCTATTATTTTACTTTTAGCAACTCCTGAAAATTTTCTTTGCATGGATCTGGTATAATAAAAACTAATTCTTTTCTTATATTGTACATGGACTGAAACTTGGAAGACAGAATTTTTTACAAAAATATTAGACTCCTCTCGAAGGATTGAGCTATAAATGCATGCTGATGAGCTGCTTAAATTCAGTTTACTGAAATTTTTTCTGAATCAAGTTACACTAAAACTTATAGTGGTATATACTTATGATCTTGAATTTTACCTTCAGTACAGGAGGTTGAGTGATAAAAGCAGATGTCAGCAAGCTAAACTGTAGGACAGGACTACAGCTGTGTCTAACATGGGCTCTCCAGGGCTGTGAGACACAACAGGTATACAAGTACAAGTTGTGTGAGAGATCAGTGCAGGTTAATTTGAAGCATTCTTACAGCAAGCTCAGCACCTCTACTTTTCTGGACACAGTGGGAAAAATCTCTGTATATGAGTTAGACTAACAGTCTCACTCTGCAACTAGAAGGGGCATGAGTATCTCAACAGTGCAAATAAGACCCAGCGAGATTGTGCAGTGTGCATGCTCACACCGTGACTAGCTGGAAAGCTGGAATGAGAAGGCTGGTTTCCTGGGTTCCCATTTAGACGCTGTACTCACACCTCTAAGTTGATTCTGCCCTACTCTTGTCTTGGATCGTTTGCTCTGTGGGAAGCTAGCTGCCATGTAATGAGAACACTCAAGCAGCCACATGGAGAGGTCAACATGCAGAGGAACTGAGGCCTCCACCCAACATCCAGCAAGCAACTGAGGCTCCTCCCAGCAGCCATATGAGTGAGCTTGGAAGCTGATACTCCAGTCCCAGTCAAGCCTTCAGAAGACTGCAGCTGTGGCTGACATTTTGACTGCAATCTAATGGGAGATCCCAAGCCAGGACTCCCTAACTTAGTTACTCCCCAATTCCTGACCTAGAGAAACCATGAGATAATAAATATTTATTGCTTTAGCCTGCTAAGATGTGAAGTAATTCTTACACAAGAATGAATAATACACCAGCCTATCATGATGCAAACTTATATTATTATATAGTTCAGTCCTCCAAGAAATATCTTATGATTTTGTACAAAAGTCTTCATCCAATATACAACATCAGAAAAGTCCTGCCTTTGAGTCTTGGCTCAGAGATAAATTCTCAGACACAAATTAGGATTTCACCTGAGACAGAAGGTATGTTTTATGAAGTTGTTTGAACAAGCTGTAAAACTGCTTTCGAATATGAGTATTGGCTCTGAGAAGCAATGGCTATTCCTCCCTAAGTGTTCCAGTTCCACTGTTGAATCACCTCTTCAGGAAATGAGACCCTGTCTTAGTTGTCTATGGTTCATCCAAAGAGAAATGCCAACAGAACACAATCTCCCACCCTTTCCCTTCCCACAGCTATTTTAGGAACAACCAAGAAAACTATACCAAGTAGATTCTTCATCTGGATAAATGATTTTAGAAATGCCCTGAAATCCATCTATACAAACCTGGTTGTTCTGGGGTGTGTTGTTCTGATAACACTCTATGATAGTATTAGAATCAAGAGCTAACATGTCACTTCCCCAGATGTTAACTGAGACACACCAGCTTGAGTTACCATCTTACCTCCTTTCAAGGAAGGAAGCAAATTGGCATCTCCTCACAGTTAATAAAGATGTAACGTTCTTTTGTTCTCTAAGTCACTTGTGAATGAATCAGTATTCCATGGTAGATTTAGTAGTGTATTACTTGCCCTCAGAGGACTTAAATATAATGAAACAATCTCAGTGGTACAAATCCTGAGCTGAAGAGTAAAATTCTGTTCTATAATGGTTAATCTTAATACTGAGAATAAACAGATCCTGACATAATTTATCAAGGTTCACATTTCTCTCCATCGGTATTATCCCTTAATCTTAAGAGTAGGTGGCAAGCTGAATGAAACATCTAGAAATAAATTCTGGGATTGTCCCGTCCAATGAGAAGGAAATAATGCTGTGTTTCCTTAGGTGAAAGTGTGGAAGAAAACGCTAGTGTCGTGGTCAAGCTGCTCATCAGACGCCCAGAGTGCTTTGGCCCAGCCCTGCGGGGCGAGGGAGGAAATGGCCTATTGGCAGCCATGCAGGGTGCCATCAAGATCTCAGAGAACCCAGCACTTGACCTCCCCTCTCAGGGATACAAGAGAGAAGTGTAAGTAAGCAAAATTGCCTGCTGGCACAGGTGTGGTTGGTGAGCTCCCAAACATCATCAGTGTGCGATTGACGAGGTGTCAGTAACTTCCCATGACAGAGAGCACACAGGTTGTCAACAGTTGTGGTTACAGCTTTTAAACTCACGTCATTGTCCTGTCTCTTCCAGTAAGCCTAGTGATCGTTATCTCCTCCATCCCTTCCATTTTCCCTACTCTGCTCAGCTCCACTGGCAAATCACAAAGCCAGCAAACTCTTTGGCTGCCCTGCGGCATCAGCACAGGAGCAGACGCAGAGGCCTGGACCACGGCTCAGTCTCTGTCTGACTCCAGCATGTTTCCTTCAATGTTTGAGCCCTGGTGTCTCATCCAATACCTCACTTTTAAAAATAGGAGAGCCCTTCACTTCCTCGTCCAAAAGTGTGAGGACTCATCAGAAAAGTTTCTGATTTGATTGCTTGGGGGAAAAAGAGAGCTGAGGAACGTGAACAATTACAGCATTAATAATCTTGCTATTTAAAGGTTGATGATATTGTTGGTGGATTATCTGATTGCCTTGTTAACTTTCCACTTGTCTGTCTTGTGATCATTTCCCTTTCTTCATCACAGCCTCTAGATTAGACCCTAGAATCTAGAGAACAGGTGTAACCCAGCAGAGGTAACTCTTCAGCCAGTTGGCTTTTTTCTTTGTCAACACTTCTGTTAGGTGGCCTGGTAGAGCTGGAAAGAACCTAAAACATATGCTGTCCCAACTTCCTCATGTAACATGAGGAAAAAACTCAAGCCCAAGGTCATATAGCTCGTTAGCAGCGGAGCCAGGACATGGATGTAGCCCTCCTGCCTCCTATGTGCTTTCCATGTATGGTCAGGGAGGAAAAGGGAATGAATGGTTGTAGAACATACAGTCTGGACTATCATCTCCCGTCAGTACTCATGCCTTGAAGTTCATGGGATCTTAGGAATGGACAAATATTTGGGTTCTTTGAGCTTAATGAATGAAACTACCTTATTGACCTCTGGAGATAGAGAAGGTTCCAAGGGAAGCAAGAAGGGCAGAGAGTTTCCATGTCAAGCAGCTCACGTCTAATAACACAGCAGTGCCTGTCAGACGTCTCACACCTCCCCTCTGTTGATTCTCTCTTTGCAGCACAGAGGACAATGGAGAGGAAGAAGAGATTGTCCATATGGGCAATGCCATTATGTCATTTTATTCAGCTCTTATAGATCTACTGGGCCGCTGTGCACCTGAAATGCACGTAAGTGATAGTGTTCCCAGAGAGCAACTTTGAGAAGCCTGTGCCGAGAACACTGTACATTCCCTGTTTTCGTCTGTTTTGTGTTGCTATAACAGAATACCTGAAACTGGGTAATTTATAAAGAAAAGAAGTTTCTTTAGCTTACAATTCTGGGACAGCTGCATCTGGCACAGGCCTCAGGCACTTCTACTCATGGCGGACAGTGGCAGGCAGCCAGCAGGTACAAGCAGATCACATGGTGACAGGAAGCAAGAGAGAGGAAGCAAGGGAGAGAGAAGGTGCCAGGGTCTTTTTAAGCAACAAGCTCTCACAAGAACTAATAGAGCGAGAACTCACTCATTAATGCCTCCTCCCCCAGGGAGAGCACTAATCCATTCATGAGGGATCTGCCCCCATGACTCAATCAGTTTCCAACACTGCCACACTGGGGATCAAATTTCCACATGAGTTTTAGAGGGAACAACACATCCAAACTCCATCATTCCCTGAACCTAATTTCTTTCTCTGTCTCTGGCACTTACTAACATACCTTTCTCTAGATTCCTTTTAGCTAACATAAAGTAGTTTCCATCTCTAATACTTGATTCTGCACCTTTCCCAGCAAGGACGCCTGGGCAGATCCTGCACCTTTCCCAGCAAGGACGCCTGGGCAGATCCTTGTGTGATTTTTCTGTGGCAATAGCTGGGCATATTTGCTACACATTTTGTTTCAAAAGCCCCCCAAAATTGTGTTTCCACGGGCCTCACTTTGGTCCAAATGTAACCAACATGATCCTTGACTGTGGCCATCAGGACACTCCACGTGGAGCATGGCGTTGAGCCCCAGGAAAGTGGTCTCTTCCCAAGGTTCACAGGTGATTGTTCCCAGAGCTAGAGCTCTGCAGACATGCACTAGCAGGAGGTTCTGTTTTCATGGGATGTCTTCTCAGACTCCCAGTTTTAACTAAAATGTGCTCATTTCTTCCCTTTTTCACCTCTGCCGAGGGCTGAGAGTTGACCTTGTTTCATATAAGGCCTCACATTAGTGAGAGAAGAAATAATTGCTTTTCATATGAAAAGAAAGTCTAAATCTTGGTAAAGGAAGTTGATTGGAATTCTTAGTGTTCCAGTTCTACTATGATAAACCATCCTTTCCTTCATGGGCCTGTCTATTTCTGTGCCTTTAAACAGATAACAGAAACTTGAAAGGGAGCCGGGAAAACACTAGGGTATTCTACAGTCGTGGGGGAAGGGGGTGCTTAGGGACCCCTGTGTGTTTATTCTTTGGTTCCCCTAATCACCTCTCATCCCTTCAGAAAGCAAGTGACACATTTTGCCCATTCTCAGGAAGGCAGCATGGGACAGTTAAGCCACCAGAGCCCCACTGGGAAGGGGCTTCTCCCCTCCTCGCTGCCTCTGCTCTAGCGCCTCACACTCACGCCCTCTCAGAACCCTCCCGTGGGCCCCTTCTGTGCGAGTGGTGGGGGAAGGGAGATGCTGTCATCCACAGCCTCCCTCTACCCACGGGAATGGGAGGTGTCAGCCAGGAGGGTACACAGGCATTCTCCTTTCCCTGGGGACACCGAGCATCATATCCGGCATACCCTCAGGCCATGTGTGTGTTTCTGACCCGGAGCCCATGACAGTTCTGTTCCTGGCTGAAGGCCTGCTCCCCCCACTTCAGCGACCACACGTGCAAGAGGATGCAGTTGTCCAGGGTACATGCTGCGTGGCCCATCGGTGTCTGTGCAGATCGGGTTATCCACCCCAGGAACTGCACTGAGCCGCTCAAGTGCTCTCTGACATTCTCTACCTGCTTCTTGCCTACTGCCCAGCCCCAGCATTAATTAAACTTGTAGGAAACTGAAATGCATAAGCCATTTCTACATCTACCAGAATTCTAGGGTTTGACATTGTGGCCACATTGTCAACACTCCCATCATGGCCACTGAGAGCTCCCTGTAGTGGGGTCACACTGAGAAGCCTCCAGCGGGCCACACACTCCCTGCTGAGACTTGATGCCTTACCCACATGACCGTTTGACTCACAGCAGAGGAGTCAAGTAACCTCCTTAGTCAAAGTTATTCCCTCAGTAGCACCTCTTCTGGAAAATCGAGGGAAAGCTCCTCTCTTTCCGTGTGGCCGCAAGTGTCTGCAGCAATGAGGGAAACACAGAAGAGTAGCCCTGCCAGACATTTGGAGGTGGGTGGAGCAGGGATGTGGGGACTTCGTCTATCTAAACTAGTTCTCCAATCCTACATTACAGCTTATCCGGACAGGAAAGGGGGAAGCCATCCGCATCAGGTCCATCCTGCGCTCCCTGGTCCCCACAGAGGACCTGGTTGGGATCATCAGCATCCCCTTGAAGTTGCCCTCCCTGAACAAAGGTAAGAGAGGCAGCTCAGGCTGGATCTGCCAGTCTCCCAGCGCCCGCTCACCCAGGGAGGGGCAGGACTCTGTCCCCAGCGCAGCGGCAGGCTGCCTGGGGAAAATGTCATGCTCTTTTTCTGATGATGAGGAGTTTTCTCCTCCAGGCTCCAGCTGGCTGCTCTCTCCTTTGCTCCCCTGTGTCAAGACGATGTGTACCTACCTCCCACAGGTACAGGCAGACCTCATGATCCCCCAAATGCTCTGACCCTCCCAAGGAGGCAGCTGGAATGGAACAATGAAAGCTCTCACCACGGCTCTCCTCCTTTGCCTCTGTGTGCCCAGACTGCCTAGGCAGCCAGAGCGACAGACAGGGCCACACACAGGCTCTCTTTTGCCACGGTCCTGTGCGCCTCCCAGCTGAGGATCATAAAGAGTTCTCCCCCCAATGCCACATGTGACATTCGATCAATTAGTGTTATCTTTGCAAAACTTATACTCTCCCCAAAGTACTCTGCTTCTCCAAGTCACTCCACCTGCTATCCAGGCAGATGGGGGAACTGAGAAGGTGGCACGATACTGACCATTGCAGTGTTTCCCAAACAGATGGTCCACAGAACATTTTTGTAGGAGGTAGTAGTAGGTGTACATATTAACAAGGAGTCTGGGATCAAATATGTTTGGAAAATGCTGTGAAAAACATCACGTTTTTATTACTTCGTGAAATTATAAAAATATTTATAACGTCTCTGAGAAGACTTATAAGAAAGAAAGTAAATATTCAAGTCAGTGTTTCCTAAACTCTCAGTGTTCTTTGAGCACGAAACATGTATTTATGTCCCACCAAAATACTGTTCCTCAGAACATCAGGCATGTGTGAGAGACGAAGTCAGCCTCAGCCATTCAGGTCCAGCTCCCCCAGGTGAAAGCAGCGGGACCCCAGGTGCTCAGGGCAGGAGAGGGGGCAGCTCCCAGCCTGAGGGGTCCCTCTCTCTTGCTTTCCTGCACTGATTCCTGGGCAGAATGGGGGTCTGGGCTCAATACCACTTAATTTTGTGCCCCTCGGGGTGCCTTATGAGGTCCCATACCTTTCCAGCACAGTATTTAAGTATGCTGTGACTACAGCTTGACCTTTTGGGGCTCTCTTTCCTAGTTTTTAGTGTAAAGAAAATAGGAAGACTGTTTTTTTTGTTGTTTGTTTGTTTTTGTTTTTTTTTTTTTGTCTGTTTTCCGTGTCCGGCAACGGATCGCAACCCTCAGTGTTGCCCCCGTACCGGACCGGGGACCGGCAACGGGATCGCAACCCTCGGTGTTGCTCCCGCGCCTCGCTCAGCCAGTGAGCGGGAACCGGTCTGTATGTGGGATCCGAACCCTCGGGCGGGAGCGCCGCCACGCTTCCCAAGCGGCGCACTATCCAGTGCGCCACCGGGCCGGCCCAGGAAGACTGTTTTTATACTCTCTCAAAATCTTCTTTATTCTCTAGGTCCAGCGGTTTTTTGGTTTTTTTCACAGTATTCTTCACTTCCTCTTTGAACCTCTTTATTAAAATAAGGTTAGAATTTTTAGATGAACTGATTTAAGTTTCAACTAAATTAGATAATAGTTTCCAAATACTGAAAGAATGTGTCCCCAATTTTTGTGCTATTGATGATGTAATGGCTACAAACATGACATATTATTAAATTTAATCTGCTTCATTTACGTTTTCTCCCTCACTTTCTTATGTCTTCACTCAACAAAGCAATAAATCTAGCCCTGATTCCTAGCATTTGCCCATTTCTGTGGTGTAAATAAATACTCTCACCATAGCCAATTACAACCTACTAATGTGATGTCACTAAACAGATTTGGGAAAAGAAGGCACACAGCACACCATTATATTGTATTTCCAATATGCAAATACAATTGTAGTAAGATAATTAGGAAGTGATGAATCCTAATATTTGTTACCTTTTTAAATACAATGTACTCAATTTTATATTTTAATCTTTAACGATGGGCTTATTTAACAAATAGCTCACAAAATTCCGGGAATTTTAACAATCGGCTCTTCCAACCCAGTATAAGCTGGCTCCAGCACAATGCCACGTTATTTCCAAAACTCCTGTTACTTATAAGGAGAACAAGCTATAGACAGTCAAGCTCTGTGTTGCCTTTTGAGACTGTGGAATTAGAAGAAGGGAAATGACATTTTCCGTGTGTCTTTCAGATGGATCAGTCAGCGAGCCAGACATGGCAGCCAACTTCTGCCCCGACCACAAGGCACCCATGGTGCTGTTCTTGGACCGCGTTTACGGCATTAAGGATCAAACTTTTCTGCTCCACTTGCTGGAGGTTGGATTTTTACCTGACTTAAGAGCCTCTGCCTCTCTAGATACAGTAAGTTACTAAAATAAGGAAAATTATTTTTCCTATCATTAGTAGCATTGGACTAAGAAGCACATATTTTCTCTCTACTCACTGATTACATTTTAGTAGCCTGCTTTAAAGGGTGAGAAAACAGAGACACCAAGAAATGGAAAATCTTAATTTATTGGGCTAGAGACTGAGATGTAGGTAAATTTGACCTCAAATATTCATTCCAGCTTCCTCAGTTGCAGAGTCTCTCAACCTTGGCATTATCTGTTGTGGAAGGATGTCCTGTGCATTACAGAATGTTTAGCAGTATCCCTGGCCCCTACACACGAGATACCCAGTCCCCACCCCTGCCAAAACCAATTCCAGATATCACCAAATGTCTCCTGGGGACAAAATCACCCTCAGGTGAGAACCGTGGCTCTACTGCCTATAAAAAAAAAGGTTGGCAGCATTATAGGCTGAAAATTCTCATGCCACTCTCACTCCTTAGTTTTATGTACTGACCTCATGAAGGATAGGTATGAAGCCAGGGGCATGACAGAGGTCGGTACGAGGGGCCAAAGACAAATACAAGTTTTGGAAATTAAGGGTGAGGTAAAGTAATTCAGCACCAACAGACGTCGAGGCAGGAGGCACCTGGAGTTAAATCGTGCAGGTGCCAGATGCCACAAGTGACAACGGAGCAGAGAAACAGTGCCCCTGGAGTCCTGAGTCCAAGGAGGAAAGACAAACTCCATCAGCTTAAGTCTAAAAAAAACCTCTTGGCAGTTTAGGGTTGTTTTTAGAGTCAGTTATAAGTTTTCTCAGAGGCTCCACCTGGTGTCCAACAGAGATAGAAGTCTGAGCCCTGTGATGGGCGTTCAGTGGCCAGTACCTTAACTGGGACAGATTCCATTTGAGTGCGTTAGCTGGCGCTGGAAAGCAGCGGGAGCCCCAGCCTGAATGGGAGCTCCATCCCTCCCTGTGGCATGGAGGTGAGAAATGGTACGTCTGTGAAGGTGTTCGGGGCATATCATCCTTTTGGATAATTAAAACAGTTCTCCACCACTACTTTTGTTTTGAGCTTTTCTATAAATTCCTTGATTTAAAAAATAATTTTTTTTAACTGTGGGACCTCCCCAAGCTTTCTGATCAAAGCATTTAATTTTTTTATAGATCAAATAAACAGCAAATGCTGTTCTAGCATCTGGTGTTCAATCACATGCTTGTCCAAGCACCATCTACAACAAAAAGGTTTTGTATTCAGTTCCTCAGCGCACAGACAGTTGTGCCTTTTCTTTTGAAAAATTTTAAGCCACTGGAATGAAAGCTCTGTCCTTTTTCATTTTTAACAACTCTGCCTGTTAAAGTGATAAATGTGAAAGATTTGCTTTTTCTTCTAGCATGATTACTGAAGTTTCTAGAGGACAAACTTTTGATAATTAATTGGAACATTCAAAAATGTGTATAGTTCAAAGAAAACAGTTTTTCAAATCATAAGTTATAAAAAATGTGTTACAGATATAGTGGCTGTGATAATCACAGGAAATAATGATATTATTTTGTTTCTGTGGATCTCAATGTTTCTTTTGAAGTTCTGCAGTTTTCAAAGATGGTAGTTAAGCATGCTTTGGCTATATTTAGTGTCACTACGTGGGTCTTCCATGAATTCAACCTGTTCACCTAAATGAACAAAAGAGAGCGTTGTAAGCAAGAATTACTCTAGAGTCTTGGAGAAAGTCCTCAGTTTCTCTTCCTTTTACACTTTTTCCCATGCAAGGTTAGGTTTCTTTTAGTGAGGTCTGCCCTTGTGTCATTTATCAGGCTGGGAATTGCTCACAATGCTCTTAAATTAACTGATGGGAGTCAGAGCTCCACTTCTCTGTGTAAAGCTGTCATTGCACTGGTGAATTCGAGAGATTGCTTGGACAATGTGTGAGTCCCCAGGAGGTGACAAAGGCTAGCTAAAACCAGGATAATAATGAGATAGTCTGGCAGCTGGACTTTGCAAGCATCAAGGATATTGGGTTAGACTGGCCATCAGCTGATTTTAATAAGGGATCAAAATTCTTGTTTGAGGGGAACAGATGTTTATAGGGTCATTTGGGATGAGTTAGGACGAGGCAGCCTTTGCTCTTTGTTTTCTTCTGTTTATTGTTTCTTTTAACCTGATTTTTAATTATTATTATTATTATTTAAAATGCAAAAGGAAAACAAATCTGCTGGCAAGGTAGAAAGTTGTTCACTCTGTATTTGTGAACCGTGGACACATGTGAGCTACCAGCCTGCTACATGGGAGCTCAGAGCATGGGGTAAGCTTTGCTTTGTTCCCTAGGGAGATTAACCAGTGTCCCAATCCCCTTTCCCTAGGTTTCCCTAAGCACCACAGAGGCTGCGCTTGCACTAAATCGGTATATATGTTCTGCTGTGCTCCCACTGCTTACAAGATGTGCACCTCTCTTTGCTGGAACAGAACACTACACCTCTCTGATCGATTCTACACTGCAAACAATATACAGGCTTTCCAAGGGACGTTCCCTCACCAAAGCACAGAGGGACACCATAGAAGAATGTTTGCTTGCCATTTGCAAGTAAGTACCCTTCCTGTGTTTTTTTACTTGTGTATGCAGCCATGTCAACTGCATTTAGTTGTGTAATCTGAAAATTGGTGGTACAGTCTGAGGAAGCTCCCAGGACTTTGACTACAACAGCCCTCCCCAAGCATCCCCTCCCAGGGTATGCTTGGTCCCCCTATTTGCCACAGGCTCTTCCTTGAGGCTCATCTCTCACTATGCGGGAGGGGAGGGGACAGCTCAGGCATTAGCCCACAGCGTTGATAGACCAGGAGGGGATGCTTTCAGGCCTGAAGTGCTCAGATTAAGAACTAATTTTTTAATTCCCAAGATAGAGCCAGAAGTAGGTTTTTCTGCCCTCTAATGAGTTTACACAGAAGGCAGACTCTAAGAGTATAAATCAAAGTGACCCACCTCCCAGCCTCCCAAGACCTGGGGCAAAGAAAAGAATCTCAAGTCACATGGGGAAATTAAGGGCAATAGTTTTTACTACTGGACATGGACATCAAAGCCAACTGTGGATAAAGAGTAAAGTTACCCCAAGGGCCTTGGATCCTCAGGAATCTACATGAAGTCTAGGAACAAAAGAAGAAGGAGTTTTTCAATAGCAGGTCTCAGCAGCACAGGCTGCGCTCATGATCTGTTTTAAGTCAGTGGTTTTCTTCCTCAGCTGCATATTAGAATCACCTGGCAAGCTACTAAATAACTATCCCAGTATCCAGGCCACAGCCCAGCCCAGTAAATCAAAACCTCGAGGGATGGGACCCAGGCATCTCACTGTTGAAACTCCCCATGTGATTCCAATATGCAGCCAATATTGAGAATCACTGCTTTAGGTTGCCTAGTGAGAGGATTGACAGGCTTCCCCCTTCGGGGCCAAGATAGGTATGGCCTGATTCTTGTGGAATGACTCGTACCCTAATTGCATAAGAGATGACTATGCTACCTAGAAAAAACTTATCAGTCCTTTTAGAACATCACACTGAAAGGCAATCTCAACAATGCAATAGCACTACACACAAATTAGAATGGCCAAAACCCAGAACACTGACAACACCAAATGCTGCCGAGGATGCAGAGCAACAGGAACTCTCATTCATTGCTGGTGGGAGTGCAAAATGTACAGCCACTTTTGGAGAGAGTTTGGCGGTTTCTTACAAAACTAAACATGTTCTTACCACACAATTCTGCAATCATGCTTCTTGGTATTTACCCAAATGAGTTGAAAATATGTCCACACAAAAACCTGCACACAGATGTTTATAGCAGTTTTATTCATAATTGCCAAAACTTGGAAGCAACCAAGATGTCCTTGAGTAGGTGAATGGATAAACTGTGGTGCATCCAGACAATGGAATATTATTCAGTGCTAAAAGGAAATCAGCGATCAAGCCATGAAAAGACATGGGGGAACCTTAAATGCATATTAATTACTAAGTGAAAGAAGCCAGTCTAAAAAGGCTACATACTGTATGATTCCAACTATATGACGTTCTGGAAAAGGCAAAACGAAGGAGACAGCATAAAGATCAGTGTGGCCAGGGTTTGGGGGAGGGAGGGAGGGATGAGCAGACAGAGCATGGAGGACTTTTAGGGCAGTGAAAATATTCTGTACGATACTTTAATGGTGGGTATATGTCACTAAACACTTGTCCAAACCCAGAGAATGTACAAACCAAAAGTGAACCCTAATGTAACTTATAGATTTCAGGTGATGATGATGTGTCAATGTGGGTTCATCAGCTGTCACAAATGTACCAACCAGGCAGGGGAGGTTGATAATGGGGGAGGCTGTACATAGTCGGGGAGCAGGTCATATATCAGAATTCTCTGAACCCTCTGTTCAATTTTGCTATGAACCTGAAGCTGCTCTGAAAACTAAAGTTTGTTTTTTAAAAAGTTTTAGAAATATTTTTAAAAGGGCAATCTCATGCATCTATTTCAAATATAACATGGTCCCTACTTTTAAAATGCTTTATTAAAATTAAACTGTATCTGCTATATTTGTATCTTCTAAGGCCTATAGGATTCAACTACAAAGGTACTTTTAAAAGTTCATGGATACATAGAATGAAAAGATAATATGAATCTTTCCAGGAACTTTTCGAAGACCCTCACATTTTAGGGGACAAGCTGTGTCGTTGCACAGTACTGTTTTGGGGGGTGAGTAGTAGAGGTTGGAGGGTGGGAAGAGGAGATCTCCTTCCAAAATCAGGCCCTATATTCTGTCACTTCTTCATTCATTCCAAGATTCCTATAATAACTGGCAGGGAAGTAAGCTAATTAGAATGCTTTTGTCTTTCAAGAGAGACATGGCTTGGTGAGCAGACTGATAGGCCTCGGGGAATTAATAGGGTGCCCAGGTTTCCCACTCTGCCACTTCAGAAGGAAGAGTAACGGCCCCATTACTTGTTTATATGAGCCTCTACTTTTCTTCTCAGTGGTGGAGAGGGGAATAAATAATGAGTTTACATGAAAAGAAATCCTTCCTATCGGAGTTGATTCTGTCATTGGCTGGACACGGCAGCAACAGCAGCTGCAGCTCTTGTCCTGCCTTCTGGTAGATCTGGCCTCTGCATGTGTCTCGGGAACCACGTTAACCAAGGAGCCTGCCTCCCAACCTAAGCTTTCCTAGTAACAAAGTCAGGTCAGCGGAACTGCTCTGAGCTGCAAGTATTTTTTTAATATACATGCAACATAAATTATAACGTATAAAATTTATATATTTACATTTATGCTATACAGAATTATATGTATTATTTATTTTTTATTTTAATTTATCCATATACAGTGTAACTGATTTTTGTGTCCCTTTACCAATTCCCTTCTTTTGAGCTGCAAATATTTTTAAAGAAATCAGACTTTGGGGAAATTAGAATTTTACATCAAAATGAAAATATAACTCACAGCCCTATTTCTACCCTTTTAGGGCCCTGCACACTCCTCTTCTTGGCCACTTGAGCTCTAGATATAGCAAACTCACACTTGACTAGATTTTTTCATTGTTTACTTTTAATAAGCCAGGAATTAATAGATTTATTGCACTCCTTGATTTTATTGAAGTTAGTCTTAGGTGATAATTGCTAATTATCTGAATGATAATGGGAAACATTGAGTAATTTTACATGATAATTACTAGATTGAGAGACAAGGCTCCTCACTTGCCTGATTAGCCCTTTTCACCCTGAAGCTCTTTCGCAAGGTCCGCTCTAGAAAAAGTTGTGAAACAGTTGAGTTTGTGTTCCATGTCTGTCTGCGTTCATCCTCCTTATGACAGATGCCTCCAAGAATTTCTCCCGTGGCATTCTGACATTTAACATCAGAGTTATGAGCTTTGCCTTCATAGTTCCTTAGGCATCTGTGGGAGAAATTCGAGGGTTCGTGAACTTCTGTACCAAATTGTGTGTGAATCAGTGTGCATTTATGCCAGATACCAAGGCCATAAACTCTGTAATTTGATAAATTATTCTTTAATTAGTTACTGTATTTGCCTTTTAAAGGAGTTGTTTTGAGAAAAAAAAAAAAAAAGCCTTTACCCCAAAGAAATTTTTTCAATAGTGAGAATTAGATGGACCAGATCATAACCTAGAGGGCTTTAAAGTTCCCTTCAAATCACACCAGTAGATGGCCTCAGATTCCACATAAGCAGCTGGTCAGCTCTACCTTCTCCCTTTGCAGAGATCAAGGGGACTGTCAGTCCTTAGAGATGGCTATAAAATTAACTGCACCTTCTCTCTGTTATATTCTTTGCACATAATCAGTGTATATATTTTGGGTATGCGTAGATCCTAGAACATTTTGTAACATGGTGATTGGAATTTTACCTTAGATATCCCAATTCATTAGCATATGTCCCTCTTTCTAAATTTTAACCACACTTAATTTTTAAGTGTGATGTCACTGAATGTCACTTATCCAAGATCTTGTCTTTTAGGAGCTAATTGTTTTGAGGCTTAGCTCTAATATATGCTTTTATTGTTGAGTGTTTCTTTCATTCTTTTCATCCTTCCTTTATTTTCTTTTATTCTGCCTTTCTGTTTTTCTTATTTCATACTGCAGTCACTTGAGGCCTTCTATGTTACAGCAACTCCTGCGACGTCTTGTTTTTGATGTGCCACAACTCAGCGAATACTGCAAAATGCCTCTCAAGGTAAACATCACTGTTGCACACTCCGTGGCACAGGAAACTTGCCTTGTACAACATGTCATCATAATTTGTGGAGCAAAACCCATGCTAAATGGGCTTTACTCCTTTAAACTGATAGTTAGCTAACAAGATACAACCCACAAAATCACACTCCTTCTTGAATGTCCGGCGTGAAGAAAGTAGATTCGCTAGATTCATTCACTGCTTCAGTTTTCTTTTATTGGGTTCCACTGACTACTTGATAACTTGCAAAGTAAGAGTAAGGGAGCTTGGATCTTGCCCTTTCCTGCCCTAATTAGGTTTTCAGAACAAAATTTCAAAAAGCTTTGAAGGCCTTGTAATTTCTCATTTCAAGAGACTAAAATGACCTTTTTCTATTCCATATTGTTTTGTACTTTTTTTTTAATAACTGATCCTCTTTTTTTTTCTACTTTTTTTCTTTATTAATGAAATGGCCATGGAGCCCTCTCTTTTTTTGTAATCTCTTTCCTAACTTTTCTTATGAATTACAAATATTTCATCACCACCACTGGGAGTATCTGGGTCCACATGGCACCACGATCAGCCACCCTCCCAAGAGGGCAATGTTTTTATCTTTTATCTCTGAGGCACCTACCATATTTGCATGTTTGAAAGTGTCAGCAATGACCAGCCACACCTGAAAATTCTGCCCAGTGATCTTAACAGAACTTTCTCCTCTTTTTAGAAATAGTCCAAGCAAGGATATAAAGCATTTTGCTGGGTTAACCAGAATCCCAGAAGCCTTTAGTTTAATCTCCTGTCTCAATGCCAGGAAGAAAACATCTTGTATGTTCCCAGAGATTTCACAGTCCTCCAAGGGCTAGTTCTTCTCTCTAACCTTAATAGTCCCAGTTTTCATCTCAAAAAGTACTTTAGCTGCAAACCACGGTTTGCACACTTGGCATTGCTTCCTCTGCAGCCCTCTTCAATCAGCTGGATGCTGGCTCTGAGTAGGCATTATTGATGCCACTTAATAAGCTCACTTTCACCTCTCACATCAGTGGGATTTTTCTTAGAGTAAGTGGATCCCACCTAGTGGATCCCACCTGCTGGGATGGGAGCGTTAGCAGTGTACATCTTCCCTCTACGGGCCAGATATGGAACTGCTGTGACATCACTGGTCCTTGGAGGGCTGGTGAGAGGCAAGAAAGCCATGGGTAATAATCCATGCAGAGAAAATCTTCAGACCCACAACTTGCTGCCCACCACCCCCTCCTCATATCAGCATCCCCCAGGGTCTTCCAGAATTATAAGCATAGGTCTCAGAAGAAATTCTTCCCAGCTCTAGAACAGCACACTAACTTCTTTCAGAGAGTTGCATTTTCTCATATGATGTAGAAAGCGTTCCTCTCCCTTTTCTCATAACAGCTGGGGGCACATTAGGAGGCACAAGAATTAATCAGGCAGATTCAGCTCAAGCTAGAGCTCATTAGGCAAAAGACCAGACCAGTGGAATTTGAAGGGTCTCTTTGTAGACAACCCAACTGTTTCAAATGTTGTTGGCTTCATCCTCATTATCTCTGCTTACTATTTTATTCTCCCCTGCATGTTTTTGATGCCTGTGGATTTTCTCTACCCCACCCCACTGATGTAATCCTATTCTGAACCTCCCAGCTTCTGACAAATCACTACGAGCAGTGCTGGAAGTATTACTGTCTGCCTTCAGGATGGGGGAGCTACGGTCTGGCCGTGGAGGAAGAACTGCACCTAACAGAGAAGCTCTTCTGGGGGATTTTTGACTCCCTGTCCCATAAGGTAATGACAGTGCTTCCTGAACAAAAAGGGACGACCTCCATGACTCAGTTAACTACAAATAACAATAATTAACAACTCTTTAGCCTTACCATATGCTGGGAGGGGCTAAGTCCTTCACAACTGTATTACATTAATCCTTACCCCAACTCTCTGAAATAGGAACTATCGTAATCTTCATTTTACAGGTGAAGAAAAGTTTCAGGGCAGTTGAATAATTTGCCAGACTCACAAAGCTAACAGATGGGAGAGCAGCTACCAGCGTAAATTACAGAAATGTTTCCTGCTTTCAGTCTCGATGACTTGGTTTGGCTCTTTCTTTCTCCCTGACTTGGTTTGGCTCCTGTTAGCCAGCCTTCCCTAGGCTCAAGCCAGAAGGAGAAGTCCTGACATCTGCTCTGCTGTTGGGACGTAGGATTTACAGAAGACTTTAAGCCACTGTGGGCGAGGGTCTTCATAGCCACTCTTTTGAGAAAGAGGTCAAGTGAGGACTCAGAGCTTCTGAATCCCAAGATTGAAATAGAGCTTTAACTCTCAGACTTCGCTTCACTTCCTTTTAACCCAATTTATTCAGATTTGTGAGGCCACCGACTTTAAAAGTAGAAAATGAGTAGTTCTGGTTTTTTTAGAGAATTCTGGGACACATGGAGCTTGTTCACCTGCGCTTTACCCCTGGACTCTTTTGGTCTAGTATAAACAGATCAGAAGCTGTTCCCAACCCCTTGGTATTTGACTGAAATTCATTCCTGGCTAGGTTCAGGAGAGAATGGATGTGATTCTGGGCATTCTGCAGATGGTATCAACATATGACCCACATCCACTACTGCGGAGCTTGGCAAAGCTTACTGTGCCCTCTCCAGGCATAGGTTGGGTCAGTTTCTATAATCATCCTTGGCAGACAAGTTTATAGACTTTTCTGGCCTAGGAAGAACCTCTAGATATTCTTGAAATTAACTATTTGGGAGATATTGATTTAAACCTTGGTTTAAAATTTTTTTAATTAGGGCTGGCCTGGTGGCGCACTGGATAGTGCGCCGCTTGGGAAGCGCGGCAGCGCTCCCGCCCGAGGGTTCGGATCCCACATACAGACCGGTTCCCGCTCACTGGCTGAGCGAGGCGCGGGAGCAACGCCGAGGTTTGCAATCCCGTTGCCGGTCCCCGGTCCGGTACGGGGGCAACACTGAGGGTTGCGATCTGTTGCCGGACACGGAAAAAAGACAAAAGACAAAAAAAAAAATTTTTTTAAATTAAAGCAAATGGCTTGATGGCTTTACACACTGTCATTTTATTCTCCAAGGATACCACCAGTTTCCACCAGAAAATATTAAAGGGGTTATGCATTGCCCATTTTGGTTAACCTGGACAAGTGCAGCCATTTTACCTTTATTTTCAGCTGACTGGTGAATGGGACTATCTAATGGCTGTGGTTGGGGTTTCTCTATTAACGTGGTCTTCGTCTTTCCTCACAGAAATATGATCCAGATCTTTTCCGAATGGCTCTCCCTTGTCTCAGTGCTATAGCTGGTGCCTTACCACCAGATTATGTAGATACCAGAATCACAGCCACACTGGAGAAACAAGTCTCAGTGGATGCAGATGGCAACTTCGACCCCAAACCTATCAATACCATGAAGTGAGTCCAGAATCATCTCTAAGCCAGTCCTATATTTTGTCTAGTAGCCAATGTTTTTCTTTCGGAAGGTAGCAAGACATTTAAGCTTTCTTTCCCTCCTGCCAACACTGTTCATCATTTCCCTTGACACAACAAAGTCACATCAGGTACAAGATTTAATCCATCCATATCTAATTATACACTATATTATTATATGCTGAGCTTTTTTTTTTGAGGGGGTTGGTTTATTTACTATAAAAGATGGATGCTCTCACAAATAAATGTTGCCTGAGGCTTTGAGAGAACCACCCTGATAAATGATGCAATTAATTTATTAATGAGTTTTTTGACAAAATCTTCACTCTTTATGAATTAGGCTGGTACAGTCCTAATAGCATCATACATCAAAACAAATCCGTGAATGACACTCAGCTGAGCTTTGACAAGGCCTCAGTGTGATGGCAGAACAGCTTGGGGTCCTTATTTGAGAGGCTGGGTCTGCTCTTGGCCATGCTTAGGGATGCTGGGACTTCAGAGTAACCCTACAACAGTACCTTTTAATTTCTCCCTGGGATTCTCCAGAATTCCTCACTGCTGTTGATTAGGCCATGGAGGTGTGTTTATCCTTTGGACAAAATATTGCTCAGTTTTGGTTTGTGGCAGCTCTGCCCAAGTTCTGAATATGTGTCACGGGATATACAGTCTTCATCTCAAGTGCATTTTAAATGAAGAGCTCCAGAACTGCTTCAGAATGAGCAGAGCAAGGAAGAGTGATCCTACTGAGCCCATGGACTTGTGTTTAGTGGCAGTATTTCTCACATGAGAGCCTGAACCCTTCCCAGGGGGACATCAGCTTTGATAACACTATAAAATTCATCTTTGGGATAATTAAGTACATTCCATTAGACAGAACCCTGAGCTGAGGGGATGGTGGGAAACAGAATTGAACCTGCTGGAAGGGAGAGAGAAGGGTTTGGTAAAGCATGAAGCTCGGGCCAAAGAGAAGGCAGGTGTTGACTTTGGAGATCCATGCCCTAACCCTAACCCTGACTAACCAGGCCTCAGCAAGGACAGGCACCAGGGAAGGATGGCATCAAGGCACAGTGACCAAATGGATGATCTTCAGGTGCTGCCATCAGACGAGTCACCTTGAAGAACTAGCTGCCCTTGTCTCACCCAACCCTAGATTCAAATTCCAGGGAGAGAGAGTTTGATTTTCCCAGTCGTATGCCTGTTCTTGGTGACGGTTCACGTAACACTACAGGCAGTGCAAGATGACTGCATAGTGCAGAGGGGAATGGAGGTGCTGTCACCAGTAGCAGGGCAAGAGCTGCTGGGCAAGCAGAAACCGCAGGTATCTACTGCACTTCCAAGATTCCAGTACTTAACCATGAGCCACTGTACCCAAAAAAGCAGACAAGCACTATTTTATAACATCTGGTCCTCTAGCTACCCAGTTATGCTATTTTCATATTGAAGCTGTAGGGTGACAGGCCAGTTTCTTTAGATGAAGAGATTCACACTGTCTAACCTGAAGAAGGTTGGCCCAGGTGCCAAAGTGGTTCTTCAGGAACCAGGAGAACCCAGAGCAGGTGGCAGGAGGCCACCTGTGCTGCAGAGACGTCCTGTGATGAGACGTGTTTGTGTGCTCACGACCCAACCCTGGCTGTGCCACTCCTTCTGCTCAGTAATGTCTCTGTGTATGGATGTTCAGCTGTGGGGGGTTGCTGGTTGGTCAAATCCAACTTCTAACAGTTGATTGATTATTACTCCTGACCATCTTCTGCCATATCTGGATGAAGTGCTTGGGGAGGTTGTAATTTTTCTTTCTTCGTTCCACAGTTTTTCCTTGCCTGAAAAATTGGAATACATCGTCACCAAGTATGCTGAGCATTCACATGATAAATGGGCCTGTGACAAGGTAGGGATTATCATCCAACTGACAATTGTCAGGGAGAAAAAACAGCTCAAGAACATTAAAGGGTCCAATCCTGGAAATCTGCCTGATTTGTCTAAGTGACAGACTCGCCATGCCAAGAGCATTCATTATTTCTGAGCAGCAATTTCCCAGGGTTTGTGGAGGTCAGAGAAATAGGCAATGGCAGCTGCTAGTGCTGCCTTTATATTTCTCAAGAAAATGATCAATTCTGGAAGTGTTAGCTTCTTTCTTAACATTGTATTTCCTGGAGTTTGTGCTCAAGCACATGCTCGTGTATGTTTGATATAAATGCTTAATGGACAGTGGGGAGGCTTTTATTTAATTTTTTCTTTGGATGCAGCATTGGGAAAGAGAAAATGAAATTGAAAGCCTTACCCTTGCATTTTGCTAGGAAGCTGAATTTTATTGTAGGGAGGACACAAAATCTTCCTGTGGTAGGCACCAGTAGAACTTCCAGACACTCCCTTATTAATAAGGCTGTCCATCTGGTGTTTAAAATTCCCCACCACATGAGGTCAGGCTGCTTAATAAGTTTAATTGCTATGTCAGCCCCTTAACGCTGGCAGGAAAAATGGGAAGACTGTGCCAAAGACATCCAGGATTCTTGTGGGCAGCCAGTTCAGGACTGGGGCCATTGTTCAGCTGCGGCTCATGGCCTATAACAGTGGACGCATCTCCACAGCAAAGCCACAGAAAACCACCTCCGTGCAGTGTTCCCTCAGACAGGGGACTCAGCCTCTGTGTTGGTCTGGGCTTAGCTCATATCCGTTCATGCGTCCCTGTTTAGGACTGATGATAACAGCAATCATTGTAACTTTCGAGTGGGCTAATCCTTATGATTCTAGAGCAGGGATTGATTGTCAAACCTTTTCTGTAAAGGTCCAGATAAACATTTGAGGCTCTGGTCAAACAGTCGCTATTGGCAACTACTCATCTCTGCTCTTGTAGCACAAAAGCTGCCATAGATAAAATATAAACAAAAGAGAGTGCCTGTGTTCCAATAAAACTTTACAGGAAAAAGGTGGTCAGCTGGATTGGCCAAAGAACCACAGTTATTTGACCTTTTCTCTAGAGCATCTGTGTTTCCTAAGAACTCTTTATATGCGGCCAGTTGGCCAGCCCGTGAAATTAGGGAGAAGAGACACCTCCATGAATTCATAGCAATAGCCAATCCATCGCTGAGCCATGTGCATTTCACCTCCTGAGTCTCTTTTGAGTTCGTATAGTTCTGTGTATCCCCATGCCATGTCTTCAGTCCAAGCTGCCATCATCTTTTATCCAGACGATTGGAATAACCTCCTAACTGGCCACCCCATGTGCATTTCCTCCAGTCTGTTTTTCACACTGCAAACAAGTGATGGTTTCAATATGTGAGTCTGGTCGTATTCTGCCACTGCTCCTTCTGCCCAGCCCCTTCTTCTTGTTAAAATCCTCAAATAGCTTCTATCCTTAATATAAAGGTCAAGATCCTTCATGAGGGCTGGTAGGCACTGCCTAATCTGACCTCTGTTACCATCTCTAGCCTCATCTCTCCTTTCACCCTCTGCCCTCCAGTCACACCCCCTTCTTTTAGTCTCTCTGTCTGTCTCTCTCTGTCTCTCTCTCTGTCTCTCTCTTTCTCTCTCTCCCCCTCTCTCCTTTCCTGAAACCTTCCCCCACCTGCACTCACATGCACAAGCCATTCACCTACTCATCTTGCAAATAGTTCAAGCATAAATTTCTAAGATGGCGCTTTCCCAGATTTCTGATGTAGACCCTCTTAGCACCTTATTTTTCTCCTTCATAATATTTTTATAGCATTTTTACACATTTATATTTAAAACAGTTGCACTTTGTATATTTATACCATTTATCAATTATATATTGACTGATCTGGTTATTTCATTAATAACTCCCGGCCACTAGACTGTGAGCTTCACGAGAGCAAGGATACATGTTTGCTCCATTGCCAGGCAGGCACTGATTATCTAATGAGGAAAAGAGTATTTTCTCCACCCTCAAGAACCTCACAGTCTTGCAGGAGAAATAAAATCAGCCATTATGGGACAGGTTGTTGAGTACTGTGATGGGCATGAGCACAGGGTTAGAACATGTCAGGGTCCCTAATCCAATACTGGGGGTCCAGGGACACTTCCTAGAGCTGGTGACATCCACAACATGTGCTAAAGGATGAGTGGGAGTGGGTCGTCACAGGGAAGCAAGTATGTGATAGGCTTGGGAGCAGTAGGTGCAGACCTAGAGAGGCAAGAGAGTTTGGTGGCTTTAGAGAACCATATATTGAATGATGTCCATGTTGGAACATGGAGCAGAGGGAGAAAGAAGAGAGATGAGGCTGGAAAGGTCAACAAGATTGTCTTTATAGGCTTAGGGTTCCCGTGAAAGAGTCTGGGTTTTACTGTGATGGCAGCTAGCCACTGGAAAACTTTCAAGCAATAGATTTTATGAGTATCACCTGACGGTAGTGTGGAAAATGAGTCCGTGGAGAGGTGGCCTGAAGACTGAAGACAGGGAGACTGCCTGGGAAGCTGCTGCAGTAACCCTGGTGGCAGCTGATGGTGGACTGAGCTAAAACGCTGGCAGGGAAGCAAGAGAGAGGCAGACAAGTGACGTGAGGGCTGCGGAGAAGTGTGACAAGGAGGACTGCATGTTGCTAGCTGGGAAAGTGAGCGTGAACTGGGGCCATTTGCTGAGATGCAGGGAACCGAGAGGAGGAGATGTCCAGAGAAGTAAAGTTCTGGGTTCTGTTTCAAACATGTTGAGAGGTACCTGTGGAACTTCCAAGCAGAGCTTAAATAGGTGTGGAAATTAGGAGAGAGCTCTGGGCTGCAAATACTGATTTGACATTAGTCACTTATCAGTGGTAACTGAAACCATGGGCCTACATAGATCACCCAGGGAGTTTGTCTCTCTTGAGAAGGGACAGAAACTTAGGAAATATACACATTATACAGATGGGCAGAGGCAAAGATTGAGAAAGAACAGCCGGAGTCTTTGGACTATGGGCTTATGGAAATCAAGGACTCTTCCTTATCTCTGTATCCACAGTGCCTCGGACAGAGTCTGGCACAGACTGTATACAGCATTCAACTTCCTCACTCTAGGAGGCATGCATTGCTACAATTTTGCTCTGGGGTGGGGGCAAGTGGTGCAAACAAAACAGCCCCTCCGTGCAGCAGGCAGCAGGTCCAGTCCTCATGCGCCTCCTAGCTCTGCTGTCTGCTCTTGCTGGGGGTGACCCTGACCAAGAAGTGCTGTCCGCAGGGTCTGTTGAAAGACCCTTCTGTTTTAAGTGGGCCTGAATCACAAGCTCAAAAGTGGAGAGGACAGCAACTGAAACAAGAGGAAATAAAGGAGCAGAGTTCAAGATTCAGGAGGCAGCAAGCCTGACGACCTTAAAGGATCAATTAGACATTTTCAAGGGGAATTTCCAAGCTCTGTCACAAGCCATTATTCCATTCGTTCAGGGAAAATAGAAGCAGGGACGTGGGTCACATAGCAGGGCTCTTTGAGTGCCAAGGATATTTGAATTGCGAACATTTCTACAGAGTCAGAGTGGATGGAAATATGGAATTTCTCTGGATGAAAATGTGAAGACCCACCCACTGATAAGGCCTTTCAAGACGTTAACAGAGAAGGTAAGAAACGGGCCTCTGCTGACACTGTGTGGCCATGCTGTTTTCTTCCTTGGGAGTTGTATCAGATGCTCAGAGGGGTTCGGGGCACATTCACTCTCAAGTTCCTTGGAGACTTTCTTGGGCTCAGTAAACTGCTCATGAACTTGGCAGTGAGCAGCAGCTCCAGGACCAGTTTCCAAGCGCGCAGCCCCATGTTCTGTTCCTTGGCTCCGAGAGCCCGTTGGTGAAAGAAGCATGGTTCAGCACTTACAGGCGGGGCCGAAATGCACTTGGGTTCTCTTGCAGCTGAACTAGGAAGGCGTTTTGTTAGATTGTTAGGGCAAGGCAGATAGAGGTAGAGGATTGCTGGAGAAAATTGACAGGAGTGATTTCCAGTACATGGAAGATAGAGGGAGTAGAGTATCCCCAAGGAAATGTGGATGGTTCTCTTACCTTTTCTTTTTTTTTTTTTTAAGAAATTTGGTTCAACTCAACTCTGAATTCCTGTCTTGAAATCAGTGAGAGTTCTTTGTCAGCTTTAGGTCTAGTGTGACATGTAAAGGGTGATGTGTGTATCTTTGCATGCATATTGGCTACCTATAAAATTGTACATAGATCAAAAGAGAATTCTAAATCTAAGAAATTCAGTTTCTCAGGCTTACAGGACAGATTTGTGCAGATGCATCTTGACATTGTTCTGATTTGAACAGCTATGAAAACAGGAGGAATCACTTTCCTGTTCTTGTTCCACTTTATCCACACAATGTGGATAAAGTCATTGACAATGTCTGGTACACTCCCTCTGAGGGCAGGGGACTATAGCATCTTATACTCAAAAACATCTGAAAGACTGATTGCATGTTTCAGGTGAGATGCTGCAAAGGGTATTTCAACCTAATGAAAGAAGGCTGGAGCTAACCAGCATCCCTGTCCATGTTGGGATCCACCTTCCATGGGCAGACGGGCTGGTCAGAATGCTGGGATGTGTTCTGCAAAGCTCTTCTCAAATTTTCTTCCAGGAGAAGGAAATTTATCGCTGGCCTGCCAGAGAGTCCCTCAAAACCATGCTAGCTGTGGGCTGGACTGTGGAGAGAACCAAAGAGGGAGAGGCTTTGGTTCAACAGCGGGAAAACGAGAAGCTTCGAAGTGTGTCCCAGGCCAGCCAGGTAGGATACCACACCCAGAGGCAGAGGTGCACCAGGAGAACCCAGGATCTCGGAAGCTCTCCCTTGGGCAATGTAGGTGGGACCACCTGAGATGAACCTTGAGGACTTTTCCAGACTCATCTTTGTCAAGTGAAGTTGGGACTGGTGAATAAGGAATGGTAAACCCGGTGACTCTGTGCTTGCTTTCTAGGGCAGCAGCTACAGCCCTGCTCCCCTCGACCTCTCTAATGTCGTGCTCTCCAGGGAGCTCCAGGTCAGTGCTGACACTTTCAGAACAGCATGACTTAACTGCAGGACATATTAGCCTCCACAGAGTTAAAAGGGGAGAGGGGAAGAATGCCTAGACCACGTCACCACTATAATAATCAAAACTGGACAGGGCCCCACTGTGCAGAAGCCACAGGGCAAGTCTCAGCAGAATTAACCAATCATCCAAGAAAGTGAGGCTTTGCTGTTCTACCACAGACATCAAAGTGGGTGACAACTCAGTGAAAGGAAGAACAACCAGCACACTACTGTATTAAAACCCCCAAATAAAATCAATACAACAGCTAGGAGAAAATCTGTGAAACCTGACCACTAGATAGAGGTGCTTTGTCTGGCCCCTGCCATTTCCCCCAACCATGAGAACAGCCTGCATGGGTCATAGTGGATTCCCTGGAGCTGCCATGATGGTGCAGAAAAGCAATCATTGCAGGATATAGGGACGTAAAACCACAAGGATGAAACCAGAAGCCCTAAGCGGCCTCTTCCCATTCCTCCCTGCTGCACACACTGGTAGCTGGGCCCTGCCCCAGCCTGGGGCTCTGACCCCTCTGAGAGTCCATCAGACCAGCCCTTTGGACTTAAAGGAAGTTTCTTTCCAAAGTATATCCTTGATTCTAGGTCACTGTTTTTTGAGCCGTATAGAGATGACTTCTATTTGAGAAATCTTATTTACAGCAGTTTTCTCAAGATGTGATTTTTTTAGTTTGTTAGGCTAAAGGCTTTCAGGGATCCTAGATCTCTGCTTGACTCTCACTCCCAGCCCCTATCCCGGGTCAGGAGTGTGATGCCGAACTCCTGTGAGAATGAAGAGCTGCCAGCACGCAGGTTCAGCTGGAACATGGGCTCCTCCTGATCGCATCAAACTGCAAGGATAATAAGTTACAGGGGAAAGACAGAATTAGAAATTGTTTTCTAGGGCCAGCCCGGTGGCGCACTGGAGAGTGCGCCGCTTGGGAGCACGGCGGCGCTCCCGCCGAGGGTTCAGATCCCATGTGGAGACCGGTTCCCGCTCACTGGCTGAGCGCGGTGCGGGAGCAACACCAAGGGTTGCGATCCTGTTGCCAGTCCCCGGTACGGGTGCGACACTGAGGGTTGTGATCCCATTACCGGTCAGTAAAAAGGAAAAAAAAAAAAAAAGAATTACAAGGGGGAAAAAAAGCCTATCCAGAAAAAAAAAAATAGTCCAAACCAGGTAGTTTGACAGATAAGAATTTAATACAGGGATCTAGTAACATAGTGTTGAAAGAGCTAAAAAACTAAATGTAATGTTGAGGCAACCCAGAGATACGCTACATCAGGAAACTGCTATCAGCACAGTCTAATTAATGATGGGAGACCCTCAGCAGTGTGCTGTTAGCCGTTGGGGGGACTCTGTTCCTAGGGTGGCCTGAAATAGCCTGGCAGATAGGAAGCCGTTTTTTCTTGCTTGCTTTCTCTTTGACTTGCGTCTCCTTGGTGGGACACAGGGCATGGTGGAGGTCGTGGCTGAGAACTATCACAATATCTGGGCCAAGAAGAAAAAGCTGGAGCTGGAGAGCAAAGGTGAGCCTGGTTCACAACAACCCCCAAGATGATGAGCTGGGGGTGGGGAGGTTCTTCCACAGCTGCAAAGCAAGAGCCAAATATGTTGACCCTCACCTCACTGACCCCAGGTGGCGGCACTCACCCTCTGTTGGTACCATATGACACCTTGACTGCCAAGGAAAAGTTCAGGGACCGAGAGAAGGCTCAGGATCTGTTTAAATTCCTCCAAGTGAATGGCATTGTAGTTTCCAGGTAAGTCATCTTCCACATGACATTAGTGGGGCAGGGGTGTGGGTGTGGTTTCTGCCTCTCCAGGTATTCAGTCACCTGCCTACAAAACCCATCAGAGTGAGCATAGTGGTTGAGTCTTTTGAAATGAGAAAATTTTTATTTTGGAGCATGAAGTCCTCTTTCCTGACATAAACAGGGCTAGTAGATATCAATTTTTAAAAATCAGTTACAGCAAAGAATCATGACAAATTATACTTATGTACCGTAAGCATTTAATTTTAACTTAAAACATATAAACATACATTCATTCACAAATCTTGTGCTACAGGCAAAGTCCTTTCCTTTGTATATTGTTCTATCAGTTGAAGTTATAAACCAAATCCATAATACATCCTCAAAGCTTTGGAATTCGGGCTTGTTTAAAGAACATTGAGAATTTTAGGCAAACACAAAACAAAATAAGTGCAGTATTCTAGAAATTTTTAAAATTTCCTCCCCTATCTTTTAGAGTTGTCTCACCCACACCTAATTCAAAAACTATATATTTGGAAGCTTGCAATTGCAGGTCTTTGCAAAATATTCAACTTAGTCTTCATAGAATCAACTGTTCATTTCATACTTTTGTTTTATATGATATTTTATTAAATTACATTACAACAATAGCAGGCATATCTGACATACACAGTCTTTGAACAAAGAGAATTAATTCTCACAGAGATGCAGCTCCACTAGGGAGATTAAATGCATCATGATTTCCTAAGACATTTTATCTCAAATTTATGTAAGTCAAAATTATCTAGATGAGAGATTTATATGAGGATGGTCTTGTCAGCTTAAGTCTTAAAGATAGAATCTGTTTTCTCCCTGGTTGGACGTCGGTGGTGGGCTCTGCTACATAGGATCGTGTTTACTGAGGCCTTTGTAGAATGAAAAACAAGCCAGTGTTCCTATTCTGATATAGCCACTCCTAAAAGAAATGTTTGCTGAGTAAGCTGCTGTTTCTTCTTTTAGTTTCATACAGAATTTTTGCCATTAAATGGCAAAAATAAGTGAATAAATAAAAATCTATACAAATATTTCTATTATATCTCTTTTGAAAAAAAATAACAAAACTGATTTGCCATACTGTGGAGCAGGAAAGGTCAGACAGCAGGAGCCTGCCTCCAGGGAAGCATTCAGGCAAGATTCCCATCATCATTTTAATCTTGTCCTCAACTCCAAGATAAATGTGTCCAGGTCCCTGTCACCGAGAACTCCTAGCTTCCCCCACCCCAGACTGCTCTATCTTCAGCCTTCATTACTCGATGGCATCCCATTCTTTCAGTTGCTCAAGCCAAAAACCTTGACTCTTCTCTTTTTCTCCCAACCCACATCTAGTCCTTAAGGAAAGCCTGATGGTTCTATCTTAAAATTTACCAGAACCTGACCATTTCTCACCCTCGTCATATTATCACCATCCTCCTACTTGGGATCCCTGCTTTCCACCCTTGGCTCCCAGGGTCAATTTCAAACATAGCAACCAGAGTGATTCTGTGATAATGTAAGTCATATCATGTCACTCCATTATTTAGAACTTCTAGTCACTCCTATCTTACTCAGAGCAAAAGGTAAATTCTAAGGATGGCCTGCAGAGCCCTAAATGATTTGCTCCACTGCCCACCCCATACCCCTCTGACCACCTGCTCACTTCCATTCCACCCACACTGGTCTCTCTGCCATAGTCATTTCAACTGGACATGCATGCTCCTGCCTCAGGATCTTTGCAACACCTGCTCCCTGTGCCTGGAAAGCTTTTTCCTCTGATGGGACTTCCTCCATGGGGCTTCCCTCCTCACCTCCTTCAAGCCTTTACTCCAATGTCAGTCTCCTGATGAGACCAACCCTGATTGCCCTATTTAACACTACAGCCTGCAAAACCTTGCTTTCCCACTCCTGGGCCTTTTTATCCTACTTTAATTTTTCTTTCTTCCACAAAACTTACTCACTGCTAGCATTCTGTCTANTGAATATACCTTTAGAAAAGGGATTTATGTGTTAATGCACAGATGACACCACTGTTCTTTACACATAAATAGAAGGAGCTACAGAGGAAAACTGAAGCAAATTTGTATTACTTTGTTTCTCTTTAAAAGAAATCATGTCTCCCTTCACTATGGGGGTGAGGGAGTGGGGTGGACCTTGCCCTTTGGGAATGTATGCGTTTCAGAATACATACCCATTTACACATTGGTCAAGAAGGGCTTGACCCACCGTGACAGGAAAACTCACAACATACTATCCTTCAACTTCTAAATGCCATATATTTTGCAAAAAGGAATAATGTATGTTACATTTTTAAGAAAACCCAAGGATATGTAGGNGGAGCAGGAAAGGTCAGACAGCAGGAGCCTGCCTCCAGGGAAGCATTCAGGCAAGATTCCCGTCATCATTTTAATCTTGTCCTCAACTCCAAGATAAATGTGTAGTATGATTTGCTGATAAATAACTTGCTCACAGAAATGAAAAATCCCCCTTTACTGTAACTAAAAAGGGAGTCAAGGAAATAGGGGAATAAAGGAGAAAGATAATTGAATTCAGCAAACATATCCTGAGTAGTTATTTAGTATGTGCCAGACCCTGTGGGAGGCACTAGGATGTGCAGATGATCAAGCCAGGTCCCTGTCACCGAGAACTCCTAGCTTCCCCCACCCCAGACTGCTCTATCTTCAGCCCTCATTACTCGATGGCATCCCATTCTTTCAGTTGCTCAAGCCAAAAACCTTGACTCTTCTCTTTTTCTCCCAACCCACATCCAGTCCTTCAGGAAAGCCTGATGGTTCTATCTTAAAATTTACCAGAACCTGACCATTTCTCACCCTCTTCATATTATCACCATCCTGGCTGAGACGGCCTCCTACTTGGGATCCCTGCTTTCCACTCTTGGCTCCCAGGGTCAATTTTAAACATAGCAACCAGAGCGATTCTGTGATAATGTAAGTCATATCATGTCACTCCATTATTTAGAACTTCTAGTCACTCCTGTCTTACTCGGAGCAAAAGGTGAATTCTAAGGATGGCCTGCAGAGCCCTAAATGATTTGCTCCACTGCCCACCCCATACCCCTCTGACCACCTGCTCACTTCCATTCCACTCACACTGGTCTCTCTGCCATAGTCATTCAGCTTGACATACGTGCTCCTACCTCAGGATCTTTGCAACACCTGCTCCCTGTGCCTGGAAAGCTTTTTCCTCTCATGTCCATGGGGCTCCCTTCCTCACCTCCTTCAAGCCTTTACTCCAATGTCAGTCTCCTGATGAAACCAACCCTGATTGCCCTATTTAACACTACAGCCTGCAAAACCTTGCTTTCCCACTCCTGGGCCTTTTTATCCTACTTTAATTTTTCTTTCTTCCACAAAACTTACTCACTGCTAGCATTCTGTCTACTTTATATTTTGTTTATGTCTGTTTGCAACTAGCATATAAGTTCTATAAGAGTAGGGATTTTCGTTTTCTTCTCTGACTTATCCCCAGCTCAATATATGTTGCATGAAGATGAAGATCTTTCTGAAAAATCTTTTCAGAAGTTGTTGCAATACAGGTATTGCATACTCACAGAGGCAGGTTCCAGATGCGGGGGGTGGGGGGGAATCAGTCAAATGATGAGTCACTAAGCCCTAGTAACCATTAACATTTGGAAATTAAATTTAGCATGGGCAGGATTGATGATGCACCAAAGTCGCATGGTTATCTCTGTTACTTCCTGGGGTTTTCCAATTTCCAACCTAGAGGTGTGAAGGACATGGAGCTGGATGCCTCCTCCATGGAAAAGAGGTTTGCCTATAAGTTTTTGAAGAAAATCCTGAAATATGTTGATTCCGCTCAAGAGTTTATTGCCCATTTGGGTAAGTATCATTGTGAAATATCACAAAAGAATTTGGTATTTCTTTATCATGGAATGACCCTTGCATACTATGAACTATTCATGATTTATTTAGATATATGATTTGGGGGAGAAAACAGTGGCTAAGATTCTATTCCCCCACTTGTAAAACTCACTTTAGTCCTTAGCTTTTCTACTGGATTTGATTGGCTCTTTTATCATTTTTTCATACAATTCATCCTATTTTAACTTTCCCATTGTTTTGTTTTGTGACTATGGACATATAACTCAACCTCTCTGAAGCTGCTTTCTTATTGATGAAGTAGAAAAAAGGGTAGTGAAATCCTTGGAGAATTAACAGAAGAAATAACTAACCAGCACAATTATAAAAACTTCATAAAATATAAGATATTTTGTGAAATCAAATAGCCTGTTTTATGGCCTCTAGAATAGCTATTCCATTTCTAAAATGCTATGACTGTTTTTGTCTTGTTAACTCTTACCAGCCTTGTGTTACCTGTGTCTTTGCAGAAGCCATTGTCAGCAGTGGGAAAACTGAAAAGTCTCCCCATGACCAGGAGATCAAATTCTTTGCCAAAGTAAGTGACACTCTGCACTTAACCAAATTACTTACTTCTTAGGATCTGTTTAGGGTGCAGGTGTAGTTGATCTAAGAAGTATTAGAAAGCTCCAGTGGCTTCAGTGAGACAGATGGGACATATTTCTCTGTTGTGGTTGGTGGAGGTCAGAGGAAGTAGGCAGCCTGCTTGGCTCCACACCATCACCCAGAGTCCCAGGTTCTTCCTCCCTTGTTGCTCCATCGTGTCCAGAGGTGTGGTCTATGTTAGCGTGGTCCAAGTAGGCTCACCAGTGCCACATTTGTGGGAAAGTGGAAAAGGAAAGGGGAGGACAAGCTGCTTTTTTTTAAAGTTCTATCCTAGTGGGTAGAACTTAGTTATTTTAGCTTCATCTATCTGAAAGGGAGACTGGGTTATGCATTTTCTAGCTGGGTGGCCCTTTGCCCAGCTAAAACACAGGGTGTTCTATTGCTAAAGAAAAAAGGGCAGAGTTCCTTTGGATGCCAGGGAACAGTCTCTTCCATACAGCCCTACCCAGAGAACTAAAGACATAGAAGGCTCGGAGTAGCCTTGCTCTGAGCAGAGACAGCATGCTTGAGGCTAGCAGTGCTAGGCCACCTCTCCAGTGCACCTGTTGGATGTCTTGCCCATGAAGCCATATGTGAGTGCAGGTGTCCCATAGGACTCCCCTGCAAATGCTGACTCAGGGCTGCATGCACATTTTGGGGGGCCCTTAGTCAGTGGCCCTCTCCTTTCACATATCCTCTGATTTGAAGCATAGAAGAAGAAAATGTGATGGAAACTGGGACCCAAAGGGTATAGTTGCCTGGAAATTCTAGGACCAGAGTTCAGAGATTTTTTGCTCACTGAGAATGAACTTTTTAAGAGGAACCAAAGGAAGGGCTTTGGCTAGCTTCCTAGAAATTGATTTATGGTGGGTTTTCCAGGTTCTCCTCCCACTGGTTGACCAGTACTTCACCAACCACCGCCTCTACTTCTTGTCTTCCCCTGTGAAGCCCCTTAGCAGCAGCGGGTATGCCTCCCATAAAGAGAAAGAAATGGTGGCCAGGTGAGTCTACAAAATAAAGAGAAGGTCACAGTGCTGATTGATTTAAAACACAAGGTTCCTGGGGACTAAATGGTGAGTCTCTTGGAGAAATGAAGCATACCCTGATGATTGGTAGCTCAGAGGTTTTGGTTAGCATCTTGGTTTTGAAAGAAATTGTATTCACACCTATCAGTATTATTCCAGCAACAAAGTGCACTGTTTGGGAGTATCAGTAGGGCTTGGAAAAGGTTTATATACTCAGGTCAACCTCTATCCTGAAACAACATTTAGAAAAAGGCAAAGGTCATTTGAAGCGAGGGAAAGCTGAACACACAACGTTGAGGAAAAACAGGTGGACAGTGCTTTCAATCCCATTGTTATCAGACTTTACAAGATTAGAACTTTAAAAAAGAATCAGATCTTCCAAGTCCTGGTGTGGATGATCTGAAACTTGCAATCTAGAGCAGCATAATTCAATTTAAACTACTAGTAGGAAAAACAAATTATCAAAAGCACCAGCCTCCCTACTCATTCCACTAGGCACAACATGTGGATAACAGAGGTGAGAACGAGAATGCTTCATGATTGGGCTGAGTTGGACTCCACCATGCCTTAGGTTCTCTCTGTATTTGATGAAAGACAAGAAATGGGTTAAACTCCTGAATAGCAAAGAGTTAAGAACTTTGATGAAAGTAGTCTATCAAGTCTTTCCCTAGCATCCATTGGCAGCAAATAGTGTACATTATGATGTCCCAGCCATATCACCATATTTTGGAGGATATTTCAGGGTTTAGCTAACATTTATTAAACCCTTAGCATGGCTGGTCACTGAGCTCAATTTTTCATATGCAAGAGTTATTGCCGGGGCCGGCCCGGTGGCGCACTGGATAGTGCGCCGCTTGGGAAGCGCGGCGGCG